AGTAAAAGACTGGTTAATGATAACAATGCATCGTAAAACCTTCAGAAGGAAAGGAATGTTATGTGGACCATTTGTTTTTTTTTTTGTGTGGCAGTTTTAAGTTATTAGTTTTTAAAATCAGTACTTTTTAAATGGAAACAACTTGACCAAAAATTTGTCACAGAATTTTGAGACCCATTAAAACAAAGTTTAATGAAACCTGTGTCTTCTTTAGGTCAACAAACATTAAGTTTTCAACTGTCTATCCATTTAGGGTGTGGGGTGGTTTAGGAGTCTTTTAAGGGTTTGGTAGAAAGCAATGGAAATGGGCTTTGGGTGCAACACTTGAGGCAAAATAAGCTGCTGTGTAAAGACCAATTTCTTGGCATATGGAATGTAATGACCCATTGTGTCTGCAAAATGCTTTCACTTTTGCAAATTGTGCAATAAGAAAATAAACTCAGCATATATTCCCTGTAAGATACGTATAATCTAGGCAAAATAAGAAACTCATTAGAATCACTCTGAAACCCCTACTTCCCATAGGAATTAAAGCAAGGTCTGGGGTTAACTCAAGCCTAAATCCTGGTACCCTTGTAAGGCATGAGATTATGACTTAATTGAGTGCTAAGGACTTCTGGTGTGGTACTGTGGGATTCATGCACCAGACTGCAAAGCCATTTGAAATGCATGGTTACTAGTTGCTCTTGGAAACCCTATATAGGGTGGCTATAGGACAGAACCAACTTGATGGCACTTAGGCTAGAGTACTGGTGTGGAGCTGAAGCTGCAGGTTAATATGCTGGTCTGCAAAGTTGATCTGGAACAGCAAGGTCAGTGGTTCAAGCTCTCATCAACTTATTGGAAACCATGTCTATACAGGGTTGCTATGGGTGGGAGGGTCAGTGAGATGGATTGGCAAAGTGGCAGCGTCAGTACCCTCAAGCTTGGCAACAATTGTGAGGTTGGCCAGGATGGGGCAGTGTTTCGGGTCATATGAGTTGGTACTGACTCAGCTGAGTCAGTGAGAACTAAGTCACATTTTTAAAAAGTCTAATAGGCCTTAAAAGATGGTAATCTTTACCAATGTAGCTGAATAATGCACAAGACAAAGATTTCATAGATTTTCGAAAAATATCAGCCAATGCATGGATAGATAATGTGATTTTTATTTGCATGGGTAGATAATGTGATTATTTAGGATAAAGGTGTGTTAACATGTCAAATTGTTATCAAGCTGTTTTAGCTATAGTGCTGGTGTGGCCCAGAGGGTTAATGTGCTGGACTGGCAAGCTCAGTTTGAACTGAGATCAGAGGCTTATGCTCACCAGCTGTTACTTGGAAATCCTATTCACTGGGTCAGAACCTACTCCAACAACACTTAAGTAATTTAACTGCCTACCTTGCAGTTCAAAACAGCTTTGCAGTCTGGCATGTTAACCCACAGCACCACACGAGGGTAGTCTCATTTTACTCTTGAGGGTCAGCTGGTTGCTTTGAACCACAGGACTTAAGGACTTAAAGTGTAGTGTACCCAAGAGTCTTCCTAAAAGATGAATTGCTTGTTACTTCCTCTAAAGACTGGATGTGCATGTTTCCCAAGCACAATTTGGTTTGAGCGCCACCTACTGGCAGTTCAAGACAATGTAATACATTTTTAGACTAAAACAACTTTTGCTCATTAATCTTGAGTTTGCTATGATAACCATGGGTTGCATTGTTTCTGAATTGAAAGCAAAATATTTTGAAATTGACATACACTGTTAAGTGCCAACCCATAGCCCACAGCACCACAACAGGACTCCACATACACTGGGTTAACTCAATTTAGTACTTTGGTAGTTGGCCTTGTTAAACCCTCTGCCATCACATGGATTCCTACTCCCCTATATGGTGGTGATAACGGGCCCTAGTTTCTGAGGTTTTAAGTCTTTACGGGAGCAGAAAGCCTCATCTTTTTCCGGCAAAACAGCTGGTAGTTTCAAACCGCCGACCTTGCAGTTCGTAGCATTACGCTACTAGAGCACATTTAGGGTTACCATTATTTGCTCATCTCTGGAAATTTCACATTTCAGTTAAAAGAATTGGAAGCACAATTCTGTGGTACATTACTTACTTAGAGATTTGGCTCTTGGAAAGTTGCTGACCCTTGGATTCAATGGAAATTCCTGAGGGGTGGAGCATTACAATTTTGTTCTGTTTGCTGAATAGAGGTTTATGCTATAGTCTAGATGTGACCAGCAGAAACTCAAACATTTACCCTGGACATGCCTAGGGTTTAAAATTCGGTTTGTGGTCTATGGAAGACATCACAACAACGTTAAAATATTGCTGCTATATCGTGGAGTCACTGAGTGGTGCACAGGGTAAGCACTTGAACCCACCAAGAGGCATCTCAGAAGATGGCTCTGGTGGGTGATCTGCTTCTGAGAGGCCACAACTTAGAACACCTTATTGAGCAGTTCTACTCTGCACACATGGGTCTCCATGAATCAAGTGACTGGTAACAATTATATCTTCAGTAAGCAAGATGGGGACAGTATTTCGTTCTGTTGTGTACAGGGCCGCTGTGAGTTGATACTGACTCAAGGGCACCTAACAAGTAAGCAAAGAATATTAAAATCCTGCTGTGGCACTGCACGATAATGTGCCAGCCCAAAAGGTCAGTATGAGCAACAAGGTTGGTGGTTCAAGCCCACCAGCCGGTCCTTGGAAACACTAATTACAGAGTTGCTGAGTTGAAACCGACTTGACAGCACACTTAAGATTCTAAGTAAGCAATTTTTTTATTAAGTGTTTGTACACAGTTCACCCTTTTAAAGTATATAGCTCTGTGTTTTAACAAATGTTTGCAGTACACCACAGTCAACATACAGAATAGTTTACCCCAAATTCCACTGTGTGTGCCCCTCTCCTACCATCTACTCTCCTGATCCATTTTGTCCCTATTTGCCAAACCTATATACATAAACTCATGCAGTATATGGGGGGTGGGGGGCTTCAAAAAGTTCATGGAAAAAAGGAATTAAAAGATAATTTCCCAAAAACTTTTTGAAGCTTCCTCATACATAGCCTTTGTGTCTGACTTTCATTTTTTGCTTTAAGTGAGTGGGTTCTGACTCATAGTGGCCCAATATAGGGCTTCTGAGGAGTGAATGATGAGTTTGAATTACCGACCTTGTGATGGTGGCGGTGAAGTGCTTTTGAGTCTGTTCCAATGGTGGTGGTGGTGTGCCAGAGTCAGTTTCAACTCGGAGATGCTGCATATGGTTTCCGAGGCTGTAAATCTTTACGGGAGCAGAAAGTATCCTCTTTCTTCCATGGAACATTTGGTAGTTTCGAATTGCTGACCTTGAAGTTAGCATCCTGACTCATAACCACTATGCTACCAGAGCTCCTTGTTAATTAACAATAGTATTTATATATTCAAAGATGGGGGCTCTTCTCCTCTATTCCATCCCCTTGATAGGACAAGTATACACATACCCCAGTTTTCTTCTTTTTACATCACTACAAAGAGCTCAGCATTGGACTAATACTTAAGTCTACCTTTTCTTCAGCTAATCTTTAATCTTAAACTGCTGTTTTTCTTTAAAATGTCTCTCAATTTTATTGGAAATAAGCAGGGTATAAATTATCAATAGGAGTCCTAGT